TTCCCCAGGAAGTATATACTGTGTCTTCTCTTAAATTTCATTCTTACTTAAACGACCGTATTGTCTTAACCAGGGTTTTACAGTATACAGGTGGTCCTTAACACATGACCATAATTAAGCCCAAAATCTCCATTGCTAAGCAAGACAGTTATTAAGTTAGCTTTGCAACATTTTACAACCTTTCTTGCCACAGTTGTTAGGTGAATCACTGTGGTTGTTAGGTTAGTAATGTGGTTGTTAAGTGAATCCGGCTTTCCCATTGATTTTGCTTGTCAGAAGGTCACAAAGGTGATTATATCACTCCAAGACACTGCATCATAAATATGAGCCAGTTGCCAAACATCCAAATTTTGATCACGTGACCATGGGAATGTTGCAACAGTTGCAAGTGTGACAAACGTTCATAAGTCGCCTTTTTCTGTGTCGTAACTATGAATGGTCACTAAACGAATGGTTGTAAGTTGAGGTCTACTTGTAATTAAGAGAAAATCAGTGTAGTATAAATGTTTGTTTTCTGAAAATAATGTATACTATTGTTGTATCACTTTTCTTTCTGTTTTTACATTCACTAAATGGGGAGGTAAATCAAAGCAATTGGGGAAGAAATTAAACAGGTAATGTTTCTTGCCCTTTATGTGATGTATTTTTAGCTGCTGTCCTAGCAGCATATTTAATCATGTATCTCCTATTACACAATATGTTTGGGAAAGGGAAGATTTTTTTTTTAAAGCAGCAGTTCTCTGGCCAAAATTAAATCTTAACCTTTTTTTTTTTTTAATGGAAAGTGGAAAGGCTGAGCTCATACTGCTCACTGCCAACTTTTAAATAGAAGTCTCCCAAACTTTGAAATTTCTTTATAAAAATAGAAAACAAATGAAACATCGTATCCACAAAAATCTGCAAGATTCTTCTTTCCTGCTTTGGACAACCACTTAAACCAACATTTAATGAATTGGAGACAAATTTCTCTTGTTTTGCTCTTCCCCACTGATAATTCTCTCTAAAAGCAAGTTAGTTACTGGCTAAATCTTGGGCATTTACTAGCTTATACTGTTTTTTCCCCTTTGCTTTTCATTCCATACTGAAATTCATCCCTGAACAAAGAGATATAATTACTGCAACACACAATTTTCCTTAATTTCAAAAGTCTAAATTCAAACTTAGGGAAATGTTATGTATACGTTATAAATATAAACAGCTGCTAAGAGCTACAATGATGTGAATGCGCTATTCAGGCTGCTGTAAACATCCATGATCCAAAGGAAGAAAACCAATGCTACATCCAGAAAGAGTGAATTCTTGTTTGCTATGAGGGGTAACTTCAACATTTAAAATTCCCAGAAATCTTCTATATTTGCTCTGGTTGCAGCTATTTTATCTTTTTCAGACTGAGGGAGATGTGTGAGAAATCAATGGTTGAAACACATTTTTCTTTTAGCAAATACCCTTGAGATCCAACCAAGTTCTCTGCTTCTCCTGATTTTTTAAAAATTGTCTGGGAGATTGGATACCAACCTGATTTATCTCTTTAAATTTTGGGGGACTGGATGTGATTATTCTTTAAATTCTGAAGGCCTACTTACAAAACAAAAGTGGAAACTGAAGCTGCCCTGAACCAAATATGAAAGGTTGGATAATGCTTTTTGAAAATTTTAGTTTAAATGGCTTTAGTTATAGTAACAATTGTAAATGACCTCACAGAATTTTTGAAAATTTCTAACCTTATTTTTCACTATATAAAGTTTTTAATTTTATATTAACTTATGAATTATTTTAATGCATTGTAGCACTTTTTGTTAAGGCATGAAGTAGGAGGCCCTCAACTTGAATCTCCTTACAAAGCTCCTTTTGATTGGGCAGATGATAAACACAGTAGCCACATGGGCCTTTACACAATTCTGGCTCATGTGCCAGTTCCAGTTGTATCTGCAACATAAGGACTTAGCTACAGTATAATTCATGTCTTCATCATCACCCAGATGAACTACTGCTCCCAATGGGGCAGCTTTTGAAGACTATCACGGAGCTCAAGTTGTTTTAAAATGCACTGCCCCACTTGTAATCTGACACACATTGCGAGGAGTCTACCACGCTTGTGTTGTGGACTTGTTTTTAACAGGTATCCAAGGTCTAAAGTCAACTTCTAGAACCATACTATTTTACCAGAATCAGCCTAATTGACATGATTGTTTCAGGAACCAGGTGCTGGTTTTATTCCACTTTCTTCAAATTGGGGACTGTATGTGCGCGAAGGTGTTGGTTCTTTGTTGCGCTGCCTGTTTGGATCAGCCTTCTGGTGTTTGCTTTGAACCTAGCTGAAAACAGAGGTCTTTTGAAAAGGCTTTGTGAATTGAATGCTGATGTCCATTTTTTAAAATTTTGTACTGCTGCTAGATTTTACTTGTCCTTACTTACACATTAATACAGTACTTATATGTATCCTGCATATTTAGATAATGTATATTTGTTTAATATCAGGAGTCCTAAGAGATTACAAGTTGAAAAAATAAATAAAAATGGATCTCCTTTTGAAAACCTTGTAATTTTACTCCTCTTTGAATGGGCAGAGAGAAGGCTAAGTAAATTTCCCTTTGTCTCAATTAAAATATTATAGACATACACTGACAAAAAGCTCATATGAAGATAATTATCAAATCAACATCTATTTTGTAGTTTTATTTCCTTATTTTCTTCATAGCTTTATGTATTGCTGTTTCACCAAGAGCCCAAAGTGCCTTACATGGACATTTCCTTTCATTTTATCTCTACAACAGCAACCCAAAGAAGTAGTGGTCCATGATTATACATGTTATTGATATAAAGCTATTATTAGCATACACATATGCTCATTGCAATACTTCATTAAAATTGTAATATATATAAACTTAAATCAGAGGAGATGGGTATTCCTGTGTACTCTAGACCAAGTTTTTATGTGCCTAGCTGATTTAGCAATAGCACTTAGACTTACCACTTCAGTGCTTTACAGCCCTCTCTTAAGCTGTTTACAAAGTCAGCATATTGCCCCCAAGAATCTGAGTCCTCATTTTACCGACCTCAGAAGGACGGAAGGCTGAGTCACCTTGAGCAGTCAGGATCGAACTCCTGGTGTGAGCAATGAGTTAGCTCGCAGTACTGCATTCTAACCATTAGGGCAGCATGGTTCACATACAGCACAAGCATCTGGAAACAATTTATTAAAGGAGATACTGTTTATTCTTGTAGAGGGAGGGAGGGAGGGAGGGAGGGAGGGAGGGAGGGAGGGAAGGAAGGAAGGAAGGAAGGAAGGAAGGGTCTAAATCCCAGCTATATAGGCTGATGAGTTGATTGGCCAGATGATACTGAATAAGGCATGAAATATTGCTGTTTCAGTGTAGGAATCTATGCAAACCTACTCACCATATGCAGTCATTGTCCCTACGTAAGGTCCATCCACTACATTTCTATTTTCTTCTGCTAATGCTTTTATGTATCTTTTACTGAGATCTAGTATTTGTTCACGAAGCACTGAACTGCTTTCATGCTGAGTCTTCTGTTGAATAGTAAAATGCAAGAGCATCATTCCCCAAATAAAGCCAAAAGTCACCAGAAAGAAGCCAAGTTTCTGAGAAGACAATTTCCATGGAGTGAAGAGTGCCATGGCTGTTTATACACTTCTGGAATCCCTTGGAAAGATTTTGCAGCTCAAACTCCCAGCGTAGTCCACACAAATCACAATTTTGAAGTTACAGATTCTGGCTTGTTAGTCAGCATACTTTCTCCATTCAATTCCATCCTGCTGCTGAAAGAGAAAAGAAGCATATGGTGATTTAAAGAAATAAAATTCCTCCTCCCCAGATGGCTTTATATTTGTTTATTTAACTCACTCCCCACCTCTGAGTAGCACAATATATTTCCTCAGTAAATTGGCAGTTGTTGCAACTCCCTATTTTATGACATGAAATATTTCACAAGAAGAGTTCTCCACTCCTCTACTCGTTGTAGAATACCTTATGCCACCAGACTTGAAATTCTAGAACTAGAAAAACTTGAATTACGCCGTCTTCGGTCTGATTTAAGCATGGTATATAAAATCATACATTGCAATGTCCTACCTGTCAATGAATACTTCAGCTTCAACCATAACAACACAAGAGCACACAATAGATACAAACTCAAAGTTAACCGCACCAAACTTGATTGCAGGAAATACGACTTCAGCAATAGAGTGGTCAATGTCTGGAATACTCTACCCGACTCTGTAGTCTCTTCCCCAAACCCCAAAAACTTAGACTGTTTACCATTGACCTCACCCCTTTCCTAAGAGGTCTGTAGGGGGCGTGCATAAGCGCACCAAGGTGCCTACCGTCCCTGTCCTATTGTTTCTCTTATTCTTCTTTTATTTTTCTTATATGTACCCATTTCATGTATTCACAACTATGTATACACTTATACTTATTATCTTGTAAACAATTGGCAAATCAAATAAATAAATAAATAAATAAATATCAGAGTCAAGACCGTATTTGGAACTACATCAAAAGATGTATGTCACTAGTTGTAGAATCTACCATTCAACAACTTGAATTCAATTTAATGTTTTCAGTTTTCATTTCTACAGAGAGCTTTTTCACATGATAGCAACACAGAGGCATATTTTTAGAAGGATATGACTGCAAAACATTCAATTTAATTCCAATTTCATTGTAAAAGTCTGCAGTTTTGATAAGAACAATGGCATATCAAAAAAAAAGTTTTCAGTAAACCTTTCAAAAGGAAAAATAATTATAATAAAAAAGCTTTCCTTAATATCCTTTCTTAAATTTCAGTTTTAAGAGTATTTAAAAATATCATTGACACTTCTCTAAAAAGAAGTTGGGAATAAATCTTGGGTTTTCCCCAATTTACGCAATCTTTTTCTAAGCTTCACCTTACAGACTGAATTACACTCCTGAAGTGTGAAATATAATTACAAAAATACATAATCTGCCTACATTTCAGGGAAATCATACATTCATGTCATAAATGTAAATAGCTGCAATGGTCTGTGCAGGAGTCATTTGGGTATATTATTTGTTTATTTAAATGAATTCATATGGTTGTCCAGTTCATGATGCATCTCTGGGTGGACCTATTTCTGGGTTGCAGAAGATCCGCCACATTCCATTGCTGTCCAAGCCAAAAAACTCAAAATCCTTTTTGCATATGTGATAAACCTATTATCATTAATATGTATGGCTAAGAGACTTGGCAGCATTCACTACAGTTGAATGAACAGATTTTTGATTAACAAGAAAATTATCTAAATTATTTAAAATTAAGAATAGTCATGATGATCCATAAGAAAAAAGTTGAAGAGTACTTCTAAGTACAATTTCAGATGATAGCCATTGCCTTTAATCCAGTTCATAAAAGAGACCTTAGTTATCTGAGGGGCAGCCTCCCTCTAGCTGTCTGCCCTTCAGTTATGTGGAGTATCCATACTCCTCATTTTATTAGGAAATTGTTGAAGACCTGGAGCTTAGAAAAAGACTGGGGAAAACCCAATTTCCTCCAGGCCTCCAGAACAGGGCAAATATGGAGCCTCCTTTTGGTTTTGTTGTTATTTTGGTTTGATTTTTTCTTTTTTTCTTTTTCAACTTTTGAACCTCCTGGTTTGAAGTATTTTTCCTTTAATGAGTTGTGCTTTGGTTGTAAGATACCCAGTCATTTGGGACTCAGACATCCTACAAATGAAATAAAACAAAATATAGTATCTTCCAGAAGTAAATTATCTGCAGAATATGATCTGCAGAATATGCAATAGAACAGCTGGAAAAAGACATTTGGGACGAAGGTGGGAGAAATTACAAGGCAAAACCCATCTCATTTTTGTTGAGAATGTTATTGATCATGTATCAACACAGTAATGAATCTAACATATAGGCAATTTCTTAATTGCACTATGCATTTTGAAATGTCTCCAATTTTCTGCTTAAACATGTTTTCTTATACTGCTGAGCCCTACAAAATGGAATCCATCACAAAACATTTGTCCTATTATGTTCACAACCCTCCTGCCTTTTAAAGTAAAAGACCCCTGTTTTCTGTAGATGGCACAACTTTAATGACCCTATCCTTTAAGTCTAGGAAAATAAAAGATCACTGCACATTAGACAACCCCTATACTAAATGAAGCCAAGCTATAAACTAGCTTGGCTGCTTTTTGAATAAATATTCACAGAGAAAGAAGCTAAGTGAGAGGCTGTACCTTTGTTAGGTGCTCTCCCCTCAACTAAGTTAAAACACTAAAATAGGTATTCCATAACAAGCAGAACTAAATGAGTTTTAGTTCCATATGAATTTTAACATCTGCATGTTATTTCAAGTTAACTCAATGTGGAGGAGGAGTCAGGATTTTTGGTAGAGCAGTCATATTAGGTTGCAACTATTTAACTATAGGGTTGCAAAAACTTAACTTAAAGAGGCCCCAAACTACAAAACAGAAAACATTGCCCAGAATATAGAGTATACTGATACTGAAAAGAATTTGTGAAGCTATAATTCAGAGCAGGGGGATTAACTAATCTCACATCTTGCTCATGAGACCCAAATCCCAGACTGGGTGGGGCATACATATCCAACCATACTATCACTAATGTCCCAGAGTCAGTTTACTCAAGAAATTACAAGGCAAAACAGATGACAATCACCAGTGCCCAAATAATATAGTAATAACTTATGAAAATACTATGGAGTCAGATCAAAGCCATTAGTCCTGCAGCAGTAGCTACTCTGACCCCCATTAGAAGTGGAAGAAAATACCGTAGTCTTTAGCTCCCTAGAAAAGTCCCTGAAATTTCTCTGGAATACAGCTGTATATTTTTAAAAAGCTATTTTCTTTAAGGTATTTCTGAAACGTATTTCTCTCAGGACTCACATGTGCAATTGTTAAGGATACCAGAGGCTATAGTTCAGCAAGATCTGCTGGGTCAAAGATTCCCTATCCAGGAATTAAAAGATGCTATCAATATTTTTCAAAGAGTTTTATCTGATTTGGGGGCCCTTCAAGTGTGTGGGCCTCAGTTTACAAAATTCTTTAGCCTGGCTATGCCTGAGTCTACATTACTGAAAGTTGAAGCTCACATGTCTGGACATCGACAAGTGGAGAAGTCTTTTATAACATTTCAAATGTCATTTTTTTTAAAAAGGTGACTAAGACTCCTCTTACATCATCTATCTGAAGTATTTAAGTGATCTGCAGAATATGCAATAGAACAGCTGGAAAAAGACAATTGGGACGAAGGTGGGAGGTCAGTGCATTTTATTTATGTTTTCTGGTTGAAAAAAGCTTGCCTTTTGGGTAAGTTTTTATTTATTTATTTATTTTTGTCAATTGCTTACAAGGTAATAGGTATAAGTAAAAACATAGTTAGGAATACATAGATACATATAAGAAAAAAAAAGAAAAGAAACAGGGGCGTTGGTGCGCTTATGCACGCCCCCTACACACCTCTTAGGTTGCACCAAGTGTTTTTTAGTTTTGGCTTATGATATATTTGGAAAGTTAGCTCAGAATAGAAATGATTTTTTTTAATTGCTGGTTATTTTCTAAGAGTGAGGAATCATTTTAAACTGACTTTTAAATTAAGTCTCTAATCAGATTAGCAGCAAAAGACCAGAGTGTTTCATCTGGATGATCAGCAGGAAACTATCATAATCACTCTTAAATAAAATTCTGAGCTTTCTTATAAATTAAATTCTGCATTGTTTCTAACAAAGACATAAATGCACACAGGCATTGATAGGCAAGTTTTTGCATCCTTTGTATTATTCCATGATTCTGATCATTCTTCTCTTCTTAAATCTTCTTATTGTCATTATTGCTCAGCTCCCAAACTGTTTGTTATTTAGTCTTCATATCACCAAGGTGCTTGTTTGATGGTCACACTCAGCAGTGGGACCCTTCTACCTGTTCTACCACCGGTTTGGTGATTGCGCGTATGCGCACCTAACGCGTGCACACAGCTTTCCACACACCAGCTGAGGCCTGCAGCGCCAATCAGCTGAGAGGCTAAAGAAAAGCGCAGGGGCAGGTGGGAGGGCCGATCCTGCGCTTTTCTCTTCTTTCTCCTCTCAGGTGACTGTCGGAAGCTTTTTTTACTACCCGTTAGGCCGAATGGGGCCGAACCGGTAGAATACCAACGCTGGTCACACTTAAAAATTAATCTATAAAATGGTGTTTAAATTTGGGGAGCATGTAGACTTCATTTTTATTCAAGAAATTCTTATTCTTCAGCAACTATTTTACATTATAATTATCTGTGTAGCATGATTTCAGACTGCAAATGGAGTTGCAAGCTATTTTTCATCATTCTCAGTGTGGTTCAAATTTGCAGTTAATCAAAGTTAATTGAGTGATTTGCCTTTAAAATCAAAGCTAGGATGACAATCTAAACGCATTTTGCATTTCAATCAGCATATGCCTCACTTTCCACAATGTTTAAATCACTGTTTAGGCAATGTCTTTTGTTTAACGGGTTCTCCCAGATTTTAGTCCTGCAGCAACTTTTCACAAAGTTTTCACCATTCCAATAAAACCAGAATACTATAAATCAGGGTTGTCAAACTGGCGGCCCACGGGCCAGATGCATCATGCGCAGGCCATGCCCATCCCAGCTCCGTGAAGGGAAAAACATTGCGAAACATCACGTGATGGCAATGTGATGCCGTGAGTTTGACACCCATGGTATAAACTATTAAGCATTTCTCATCTATTTTGCTTTATTTTTATGCTGTTAGTCATACAGGTTGGTGGAGCAG